GTTGCTTTCACTGATTGTAGTCAGGGCCCTATAATCCACGCATAAACGTAAAGAGCCGTCCTTCTTCTCTCTAAAAAGGACCGGGGCAGCCACTTTAGGCTTGGCTGGCTCAATGAAACCTCTCTCCAGGTTTTTTTTTATAAATCTTTCCATTTCCTCCTTCTCCTTTGGGCTCATGGAGTATAATCTGGGCTTCGGGAGTTTTGCCCAGGCTTGAATTCAATGGTACAGTCTGTGGGTCGGTGGGGGGGAAGCTCATTCGCCCTCTCCTCACTGAAGACTTCAGCAAGGTCCCTATATTCCTCTGGTATTTCTGTTAATCTTTTTTCCTCTCCTATGGATGCTTTTTCTATTCTTGATTCTGGTAGCCTCCCTTGGGGTTTTAAGTCCATAGGGTCCACCTTCGGGAATTTGATTTCTGTCGTCCTCCAATTTACCCAGGGGTTCCATTTTTTCAACCATTCCATCCCTAGAATCATTGGGCATTCCATACCTGGGGTCACCACAAACGTTAAGTCCTCTTCATGGTTGCCCAGGGAGAGGTGTATTGGCAGAGTGGCTAGGGTAGCTGGCACCCCCCCTGCTATGGATCCATCTAGCTGGCCCAATGAGATTGGTTGTTCCAGTCTCCTGGATGGGATGCCCAGATTCCCCACTAGTGTTGGGCTAATGAGGCAGCGGGTGCAGCCAAAGTCTATTAAGGCTTTCACCTTCACAGCTTCGGGCATGGGGGGGATTAATATAGTCACTGTTTTGAAGATGGGTGTGATGCATCCACTTACCAGGGGTTCGCCCTCCGAGCTGTCATCTGAGGCATCCACCGTCCCTGTGGTGTAGGCTGGAGTTCTTTCCCCTTGGTGAGCAGAGGTGGGGGTTTCTGCAATTTCCATCATTCTCCTGGCTGTTTCTTTTGGCTTAGCTGAATACTCTCTGGGTTTGTTGATTGGGGATCTGTCTGGGTTGTGCTGGGGGGCCTTTAAGCGGCATTCTACAGCTCGATGCCCTTCTCTTCCGCACTTGAAACACCCCATTTGCTTCTTGGCTGTATCTGATGATTTCACCGGTTGGTGTGTCAGCTCAGGCGGGGGGCGGCTCCATTGTTTTCTTCGTCGGTGCCTCTTCAATATGTCGATCTCTGCTTCCTCTGCCAAGACGTACCATTCCTCAAGTCGATGTGGGTCCCCTCAGGGCAGGCAAGCATCATATAGATCATAGTTTAGTCCGTCTTTGAAATGGCCAAGGAGGATGTCTTCTGGCCAATTCAGTTTGCTGGCAATGGCCCGGAATTCTTGTGTATACTCGGCCACTGGGCGTTTTCCTTGCCTCATCGTTGTTATTCTTTCACGGGCTTTGCGATCAGCCAGGGGGTCTTCAAATCGTCTTCTCAAAGAGGACATGAAACGGTTGAAGTTACTGAGTTCTGGGGCATTGTAGTCATGCAGGTTCACCACCCAATCTGCAGCTGGTCCATCCAGGGCAGATTGCACGATCCGGATGCGGGCTTTGTCGCTGGGGATGTCCTGCCCATATTCCTCCATGTAGCTGAGGACTTGGGTTAGGAAAAACCCCAATCGTGTTGGCTCCCCTTTGAATTTCACCTCCAACGGTGGACGTCTTGGAATGGATCGGTGCCTCCGGTGTGGGTGGTAGTGTCTTCCGTCCAGATTGCCATCTGTGGTCCGGTAGGGGGTGGGGGCTCCTGGATCAGTAGATGTCCCTGGGGTTGCAGGTTCCACGTCCCCCTCTGTGTCTCTCCCTTTGTGGCTCCAGGAACTGGGGCGGCCGTAGGGCTCAGTATTCTCCTCTCCTAGGGAGCTGAGAGTTCTCTTCATCAGGTCCATAGCTTTCTCTAGGATCCAGTCTGAGTACGGTGCCCAGCTTCCTCCCTCTTCACTTGCGTGCAGGGATTTCTCCATCTCCTGCTTCCATTCTGGTTGCTTGGTCCCCCGTCTCAGGGTCACCTTTCTTGATTCCTTTCTCCACTCACGTTTCTTTCCAACGTTCATCGACCAGCGAGGCTTGTGGTCCTGTGTCTCCACCACTTCTTCTCCCGAGGAATCTGACCTCTCAGATCCCCACATCTGGCAAGGTTCCAACTGGGTCAGCGGCTCTCTTTCCAGGGAGTTTTCCCCCTCTCTTTCTCCATTGTCTGACATTGTAAATTTTTTGCAAAATCCCCCAGCAAGGGTCTCCCTTCCAGGTGGATTAATTTTACAAGTCCTGTCTAATGTAAGGACCCACCCCACTTTGCATCTTAAGAAGACAGAACTCTTGGAATAATTCTTCCAACAGGAATCCTTTATTAAGAGAAAATGGTTGCAGGCATGCTAGACAGGACTTGGGGTTCAAGCTCTTCCATTCAAGGTTTTAAGGGGTTCCCCAGTAGTCCCACCCAATCAACCCCCCTTCCAGTGATAGTTTCAAGTATCACAATTCCACCCCCTTTCTTCTTTCTTCCGTCTGGATGGAGACTTCAGATAACTACATGAAAGGCAAATACCCTCCTTTGGTATGCTAACGCTTTGAGCTTACAATAAACACACATTCAGCATTCAGCTCTTTGAAGTGTACTGAAGGAAGTGAGGGCCATAAAGCCCCTTTGTTCTCCCCCTTCTCTCCCTCTTATGGCAGAATCCAGAGATGGCAGAATTGGGAGTTTCTATATTTGATAATTAAAGATGAAATATAATTGGATTCTGACACTCACTCTAGAATTAAAAGAAAAAGATGATTCGGAATTTTACGCGGTTTGGGAAAAATGGTATACTTGGATAGACAATAGAAATAAAAATTGGAAATATACATAAGGCTATTGTGGGTTAGATATTGAATGTATATAGTGTATCTATTGTATCGAATGTGGATCCGAAGTATATAAAAATGATGCAGTCTGCTGAATATGTACTAGAGCTGTATAAAGGAAAATAATAATAAAAATTATTATATATATAAAAAAAGAATTCTTTACTGGCCAAGTGTGATTGGACACACAAGGAATTTGTCTCCAGTGCAGAAGCTCTTAGTGTACATACAAGCCACAGGTGATAAACCAGTGATGGCGAACCTTTTAGAGACCGAGTGCCCAAACTGTAACCCCAAACCCACTTATGCATCATCGGGTGCTGGGTGGGTGTGGTCCATTGGGTGGGTGTGGCCCATTGGGTGGGCATGGCTGCGGTAATAGAAGACTGGGTGGGACTAAAAAGTTCAATCAATCAATTCCAACTTTGCAAGATCTTTTTTTTTCCCATGAGAAGTTGAAATTGACTAATTGATTGAACCTTTTTTTTTTTGCACACGGCAGCGGAGGCCTAAAGCGAAAAAGTTTTATAAAATCTAGCTGAAGGCGACGGCACACGTGCCCATAGAGAGGGCTCTGAGTGCCGCCTCTGGCATGCGTGCCATAGGTTCGCCACCACTGTGATAAACCATGAGCATCACAAAAATACACTCATTGTAAGTCATAAGATACAACACCCAGTGATAGCCAGAGGATACTAAATAAGCGAACAACATAAATCATACTAGGATACTAAATAAAACACTTAATATAAATTGTTGAGATACAATCGTTGAGATACTACGCATTATAGTCCTAAGAAGATAAGGAGATAGACAATAGGGAAGACGAGGAGAGTAACAGTAATACAGCTGTACTAGGGAGTTTGACAGTGTTGTGGGAATTAGTTGTTTAGCAGAGTGATGGCATGCGGGGGGGGGGGGAACTGTACTTGTGTCTAGTTGTTCTGGCGTGCATTGCCCTATAGCAGGGGTGGGAAATCTTAGCTCTTTTATGACTTGTGGACTTCAACTCCCAGAATTCCTGAGCCAGCACGGCTGGCTCAGGAATTCTGGGAGTTGAAGTCCACAAGTCTTAAAATGGCCAAGGATGGATACCCCTGGTATATTGCATAATGCAGGCACAATAATATTGGCAATCGATTTACAACAATTCATTTAGTGACCGTTCAAAGTTACAACAGCCCTGAAAAAAGTGGCTGAAGACCGTTTTTCACACTTGTGACCCTTGCAGCATCCCCAGGGTCACGTGATCAAAATTTGGAGGCTAGGCAACCGGCTCGCATTTATGACGGTTTGCAGTGTTCCCGGGGTGAGACGATCCCCTTTTGCAACTTCTGCAGTGATGCACTCAGCAACTGTGGCAAGAAATGTCATGAAATGGGGCAAAACTCATTTAACAAATGTCTCGCTTAGCAGTAGAAACGCTGCGCTCTGCTGTGGCTGCAAGTCGAGGACTAAGTGTACATGTACTATATATTTACGCACTAACACATGCATCCACGTTACACAAATGTACCTTTACGCATGTACAGGCTGTCCTCATTTAGCGACTAAAACTGGGTCCGGCAACGTGGAAGTTAAATGAAACGGTTGCTAAGGGAAAGAGGGACCGTGTTCATGATCTGGCTTCAGTTTTCATTTGCGTTAGAGCCCTGCAAATGTCGTAAATGCGAAGCTTGAAGTTCCTTTTCATCATACTTTTAGACCAGTGGTTCTCAACCTTTTTAATGCCGCGACCCCCAACCGGTCGTAAGTCGAGGACTACTCAACCGGTCGTAAGTCGAGGACTACTCAACTGGTGCAGCACCGTTTGCAGAATGGGACTTTTGGCGGGCTCAGCAGGCAGAGACAGCCTGGACAATTCCTATTGGCTTTTGAAAGCCAATAGAATTAGACTCTATTCAAGAGAGTCTATTCTATTGGCTTTCAAAAGCCAATAGAATAAAAGGGAGTAGCACAGCTAAGGAAAAGGGGGGAAAAATGGCAGACTGCGTTGTTTGGCGACCCCCGTGAAATGGTCGTTCGACCCCAAATGGGGTCCCGACCCACAGGTTGAGAACCACTGTTTTAGACCGTCGCTAAGCGAGAACTGCCTGTATGCAGGCATAGGGCCGTAGAGCTGCACCAGGGTGTGAAACACTTATAAAGCCGATCCAAGCGAAAGATCTTCTGCTTACCATGAATCCTTTCAACGTCCGATAAAAGGGATCTAGAAGGAGACAAGCCAAAGAGCAGACCTGGGCGGTACGATCCCAGCCGTCCGAGCAGTGCACCACCACACTGGCCCCTTCGTCTCTGACTGCCTGGACGGAGGACAGGGAGACAGGCGCTTAAGATTTTGTTTTAAAAAAAAAGAAGCAATGGTGCAAAACTGCTATCAGGTGCGAGGCTTTGCAGTATCAACAGGCAGGATAAAAAAGAACGAAGAGCAAAACTGTAGGAGCAGCAAAGGAGGGATAGAAGCAGAAATACCCCCTTTAGGATCCAGGGTCCTCTCTTTCTTGGAAAGAGCCCTTAAGACAAAGTTAGAATCATAGAGTCATAGGGCTGGAAGGGACCTTGGAGGTCTTCTACTCCTCTTCTAGTGGTCAAGGAGTGCTTATATCATCCCGGACAAATGAATGTCTAGTCCAGGGGTAGGCAACCCAAAACACTCAAAGAGCCACTTGGATTTGTTTCCCACCGAAAACAAAACACTGGGAGCCGCAAAACCCTTTTGACATCCAAAATGAAGATAACACTGCATATATCCTTTTTTATCTTTATTATAGGTATATGTGTGTGTGTGTATGTGTGTGTTTGTGTGTTAAAAAAATAAAAGTAAAAAAGGATATATGCAGTGTTATCTTCAGTTTAGATGTCAAAAGGGTCTCTCTCTCTCTCTCTCCCTCCCTCTCTCTCTTTCTGCCCTTGGTCTGCCAGTCCTCTTCCCCCACTCAGTGTGTGTGTGTGTGTGTGTGTGTGTGTGTGTATGTGTGTGTATGAGAGAGAGAGAGAGATGCACTTGCGCTTCCCCCCTTTCTCTCTCTCCCTCCTTCCCTCTTTCCTCTCTTTCTCTTTTCTCTCTCTCTCCACACACACACACACAGAGAGAGAGAGAGAGAGAGAGAGAGCAGGGAAGTGCAAGTGCCTCTCTGTCTGTCTCTGCAAATGGCAGAAAAGGCTGGGAGCCGCAGGAGAAGGCTCAAAGGTCGACTTGTGGTCTAATCTTTTCTTGAAAACTTCTAGTGAAGGAGCACCGACAACCCTTGGGAGGCGAGCTCTTCCACTAATTAATCTTTCTCACTGTCAGGAAATTTCTGCTCACTTCAAGGCTCTCTTTAAAAAGCTTCCACCCATTACTTCTTGTCCTGTGCTTTGAAGAATAAACCAATCCTCTCTTCTCTGCGACAGCCTCTTAAGGCAGAAGTCTCCAAACCTTCTCTGTTGGACGGGAGGGATAGGGAAGCATTTTATGCACACTCGTGTGTGCACACAAACAAGGCAGTGCTAGTGCCCGCGACACTCATTAGCACTGTCCACTTTAGTTGCGTGGGCGCTAGCACCACCCTGTTTTTGCCATATGGCGCTGTTTTTGCAGCAGCGCTAGCGCGAGTGGGAGTGAGCGCGCACACACACGTGCCTGCCCTGGCCAGCCTGTTCCGTGGCCTGCAGGTTGGGGACCCCTGTCTTAAGATACTGGAAGACAGCTTTCCTGTCACCCCTAATCCTTCTCGTCGATAAGCTAGACACGCCTAGCTCCCTCAACTGTTCGTCATACTGTTTAGCCTCCAGATTTTAACATCCCAAAAAACAGAGATTTTTTTCTTCACTTATCTTGCCTCCAGGATGTTACAGACCTCCTAACACCTCCTAACCCAAAAAGTATTTCAAATTGACGTTGATGACAAATACTTTGCCTCCTGTGTGCAGCTGAAGCCATCTCTGTACACAAAGCTGGAGAAATCTGAAACTGCTCACCGCTCTTTTTTCCACATTTTCTTCCAAGCTCTCACTTTACCTCCCCCCCCCCCCAAAAAGAAAGGCTGCACGCTGGTGAGCATGCAAAATGTCCCAGGAATTATGCAAAATGTTCTTTTACTTTAGCCAGGAAGACTCCTGCATCCATCACGGCTTTAATGTGTCGCAACCAGCCGGAGTTCTCCAGTCCTGTGAGGAAGTCGCTCATCGAAGGAGACTTTGCTTCACACACTGAAAAAGAGGAACCATGGTTTCGGTAAGAGAAAGCCCAGGTAACAACGAAGAGCCCTCCCAATAAAGTCACAACTTCTGCGTCCACACAAAGGTTCCCGGTCAGACCTGCCCTGGTTTGCTCTCTCAGGAAAGTGAGACTCGTGACTCCCATTGAGCGGAAGCCAAGGAACTTTTACTGAAAGAAATTGATTGCAGCAAAAGTTTGGTAGTTCCCACGCAAAATGCAAAGCTATTCTTTCCAATTCCCAATCCCTCCCTCCACGGCCGGTCCCCTGGCCAGCCAAGGCAACGCCGGTGAGATATTTGGAGAAACTCAGAGGAGCGAAACTGGTAACCTTCCATTCTCAGGGCAAACATCCTTGAAGATCCTGGTACAAGCCGGTCTGGTGATCTGGCCTTCTTCCGTTGTCCCGTCCCCCTCCCCATTTCCCATATTAGATACACAGGTGTGGATTGCCCCAAATGCCCCCCTCCTTCCTTCCCCTTTGATAGCAGGAGCCCAGCAAAGCGCCAGGCTGACAATGGAGATCCCAACATTCCCCTTGGCCAGGGGTAGGCCACCTTGGCTCTTTTATGACTCGTGGACTTCAACTCCCAGAATTCCTGAGCCAGCCATGCTGAGGAGAAAGGGAGAGGTTTCCAAGCTGAGCCATGCTGGCTGAGGAATTCTGGGAGTTGAAGTCCACGAGTCATAAAAGAGCCAAGGTTGCCTACCCCTAATCTATCTCTATCTGAATCCCTATGCCTAGGCCAGGGGTAGTCCACCTTGGCTCTTTTATGACTGGTGGACTTCAACTCCCAGACTTCCTGAGTCAGCCATGCTGAGGGGAAAGGGAGAAGTTTCCAAGACATACCCAATTCCAGCAGCCTTTCCTTATATGCTTTAGCCTCCAGTCCCCTAATCATCTTTGTTGCTCTTCTCTGTACTCTTTCTAGAGTCTCAACATCTTTTTTACATCATGGTGACCATTTATAATGCATTACTGCATCACTGTCACACCGAAGTGGTTCAGTCAATGCACACCATGCTGTATTTACATTCCCAATAAAAAAATAACATCTTCCTTCTGGGTGGTTTATCGCTGCAAAGCACAATGCCTGCTAAGAACTCAGGTAAACTGAACAAGCCAAGGACACAGTCAGGGCCTTAGTCTGCTTAAGGTCTCCCATTCAGAAGTTCCATCCAGGTCTGTGTAAGCAGGGAACTACAAAGCACATCCTACCTTCCAGGAGTTTCTGCAGGCTGCTCCTCATCACGTGGATGTTTTCAATGCCGATGAATTTAAAACGGATGCATTCGTAATTATCCACATTCTCGTAGCCCTTCCCAGCAGCTCGGTTGGCCATGGCGTTCAACTAGGAAAATCCAGTGACATTTTACTTATTACTGGGCAGATTTGCTGCTCCAATCGTATTTATTAGAGCTGGCTTCCCTAGTCTCTTCTGTCAGCCGAGGATAAAAAAGATGCATACATATGAAACTACCAAAAGAAATAATTACTACTCTTATGCCACAGACGGTAATCAAACTCAATTCAAACAGAGCACCGCATTGCAAGAGGGAAAACTTCATTGCGCATCTGTCTCCGGGGCCTGTTCAAAGAACAAGCTTAAATCTCTCCTAAAATCCAGGGAAGTTGGAACTGTAGGGATCTCTGGAGGGGATCCTGCTATAAATAAGGGGGAAGGAGTCACATTGGAAGTCTTCTAATCCAACCCCGTTTGAGCAGGAGACCCTATATTATTCCACACAAATGCTGTCCAATCTCTTCTTGAAAACCTCCAGTCATGGAGTACCCATAATTTCTGAAGGCAAAAGCCATTCCGTTGGTTAACTGTTCAGATTGTTAGGAAAGTTCTCCTTAGTTCTAGATTGGATCTCTCTTTAATGATCTTCCAACCATTACTTCTTGACACTAGACTAGACTAGACTAGACTAGACTTAGAGCTGGAAGGGACCTTGGAGATCTTCTAGTCCAGCCCCCTGCTCAAGCAGGAGAACTAATACCATTTCAGACAAGTGACTGTCTAATCTAAACAGTTCCCACAAACATTCATTGTACACTTTAACCTCTCAACATCTTTTTTTAAAAACATGGTGACCAAAACTGGATGCAGTATTCCAAGTGTGGCCTTACCAAGGCCTTGTAAAGTGGTATTAACACTTCATGTGATCTTGATTCTATCCCTCTGTTAATGTAACCTAGCACTGTGTTGGCTTTTTTGGCAGCTGCAGCACACTGCTGACTCATATTTAAATGATTGTCCACTAATTGTTCATATGTTCCCTGCCGTACACTTGCTGTACGAGTCCTTCACCATGTTTAAATGTTAAGCCTTGCTTAAGGTACTGCACAAATTTACTCTGTTTTCCCCACATCCTGAAAAGGCAGCTAATGAAGAAAAATAAAACAGACAAACCCAAAGCAAACTTTATGGCAACTTTTCCAAATCTAGCACCCTCTGGAATGGTTAGGTTAGTGATTTTCAGAATTCCCAGCCAGGATGCCAGTTATGGCAGAGCTATGACTTTCGGATCAGCCACCTAACCATGATCGCATTTTGGACTGAGCACCAACTATTCAGAAGAGCAGTGAAAGCACCAGATTGACAAAACAAATTAACTGAACTTAAAAATGTCTCTTCCACCCTTTTAAGGATGGTGTCCTATGGACCGAGCCAAACTCAGCATCAAAGTTGTAAATCAGGGCTGTCCAACCTTGGCATCTTTAATACCTGTGGACTTCAACTCCCAGAATTCCCTAGCATCCATGCGGGCCGGCAAATTCTGGGAGTCGAAGTCCACAAATCTTAAAGCTTGGACACCCCTGCTGTAAATTAAGCTGACCTCTGAGGTTTCAGGGAAGAAGTACCTTTGGCCTCGTGTCTACCACGTACATGAACCGACTCCCAGCATTGGCTTCCCGAATCGCCTGCAGCAGCTGTTCGTCTTCCAGGCAACGAGTGCTAAATCCAGACAAAGGCTGGCTGCACCTGCAGATGGCGGCCTGCAATACAAAGGAGGTATGGAATGTAACAGGTGAGACATTCAGAATCAGGCCCTGATGTCCCTGCTCTTCCTTTTCAACTTGGATGCAACTCTTGCAAGGTCCCCGAGAGGCGTTTACATGGGCCTGCGTGAATATCGGAAACACCTTTGGGATAAAGTAGTGCAATTTGGAAAGAGAGGTTATATAGTTTGAATACTGTGGATATAATTTACTACTGTGGATATAATTTACTTGGACTTCAGTAAGGCATTTGACAAAGTAGATCACAACCTACTACTTGATAAGATAGAAAAATGTGGGTTAGACCAGTGGTTCTTAACCTTTTTGAACAAATTGCCCCCTTGAGCCAATGAGGAAGTTGTCATCACCCCCCTCTCAATCACAACATAAGAAATAATTCTTCAATTTATGCAAACACTTTTTTTGTTTTCTTTAAAATTGTCATCTGGACATATCGATGCAAATAATTTATTTCCAGTCTTTTTCTCATATCTCAACTGTGTGAAAAATTTTGGTGCCACCTGTCACTTTATTCCCAAACTTCGTGATACATGTATTTCATTATTATCTTATTTATTCAAGACACTTAAATGTAATGACCACTGAAAACAAAATTCAATTGCAAGAAAGTGAAATGCCTGAAAAGAAAAACAGTAACATTTAATGATTGAATTACAAGTGAAATTTAAGATGCAAAAAGAAATATAAAAAGGGCATAAAAACAAACCGCAATGCGCATGAAGATAAGCGATGCATCTTCACATATGTACGGTGTTCTGTACTGAAGCTAGCTAGAGGAACATTTGAAAACACAATTCAATCCACTAATAGTGAGCAATCTGATGTTTTTGTATGACAGATATACAGCGATTCACTGTACGAAAAAGTCTCTAAAAGTGTCCCCAAAATATCTTGCTCCATTGCCCCCATATCGCCCTTTTTGTTCCTTCGCCCCCGCGTCGCCCCTTTTCATTCCATCGCCCCCCTGAAAAACGAAATCACCCCCTGGGGGGCAATATCGCCCAGGTTAAGAACCACTGGGTTAGACAGCATCCCCACCAGATGGATCCGTGGCTGGCTGACCGGCCATACTCAGCGTGTGGTCCTCAATGGAACCACATCTACATGGAGGGAAGTGTGTAGTGGGGTGCCCCAGGATTCTGTTCTGGGCCCAGTGCTCTTCAACATCTTCATCAACGATTTGGACGAGGGGATAGATGGGGAACTCCTCAAATCTGCAGACGACACGAAGCTGGCAGGAATAGCCAACACTCCAGAAGACAGGCTTAGGATACAGGAAGATCTGGACAGACTTGAACACTGGACGCTATCTAACAAAATGAAATTCAATAGTGAAAGAAGGAAGGTTCTACATTTAGGCAAGAAAAACCAAATATACAGGTATAGTATAGGGGGTACCTTGCTCAATAGTAGTAATTGTGAGAGGGATCTCGAAGTCCTAATAGACAATCACTTAAATATGAGCCAGCAGTGTGCTGCAGCTGCCAAAAAGGCCAACACAGTACTGGGCTGCATTAAGAGAGGGATAGAATCAAGATCACTTTACAATGCCTTCGAAAGGCCACCCTTGGAATCCGGCATCCAGTTTTGGTCACCATGATGTAAAAAAGATGTTGAGACTCTAAAAAGAGTGCAGAGAAGAGCAACAAAGATGATTGGGGGACTGGAGGCTAAAACATATAAAGAACGGTTGCTGGAATTGGGTATGTCTAGTTTAATGAAGAGAAGGACGAGGGGGGACATGATAGCAGTATTCCAATATCTCAGGGGCTGCCCCAAAGAAGAGGGAGTCAAGCTATTCTCCAAAGTGCCTAAAGGCAGGACAAGAAGAAATGGATGGAAACTAACCAAAGAGAGAAGCAACCTAGAACTATGGAGAAATTTCCTGACAGTTAGAACAATTAGCCAGTGGAACAACCTGCCTCCAGAAGCGGTGAATGCTCCAACACTGGACGTTTTTAAGAGACCAGACAGCCATTTGTCCAAAATGGTATAGGGTTTCCTGCCTGAGCAGGGGGTTGGGCTTGATAACCTCCAAGGTCACTTCCAACTTTATTATTATTATTATAATACTCCTTGGATTGAATCACGAGCAGTCTTTGACTTACAGCCATTTGTTTTAGTGAACATTCAAAGTTACAACGGCAGTGAAAAAAGTGACATGGCCATTTTTCACACAACCATTGCAGCATCCCCAAAACTTGGGCTCTGGGCAGCCAATGTGGATTTGCGACGACTGCATTGTTCCAAGGTGCTGTGATCACCATTTGCTGCCTTCTTGGTTCGCTCTCGACAAGGAAAGACAAGGGCGGAGGGAGACGGATCAGCTTAAGGACCGTGTGATTCGCTCAACAGCCGTTGGGACTCGCTCAACGGTGGCAAAAACGACTGTAAAATTGGGTAACAGCCTTGCTTAGTAACGGAAATTCTTGTCCCAACTTGTCAAGGACTACCTGTATCTCCCAACCCATCATGGGAGGCTTCAAATAAAATTCTACATACAGGTTCTGTCTTTTCCGAAGAGGCGTGATCATTTTGCTTTCTCCTTCTTTTGCTGCTTCATCACCTTGCATGTATTTCCCATCAATGTGGCCAAAATGCTGAGAAAGGAATGCAAGCGAACCAAAGAATGCTAAAGGGAAATTTCCCCCAGAATTTTAAATCCATTCGCAAAGTCAGTTTGCCCAGCCTTGAGGGGAGAGCACGACAGAAACAACGAAGCTGATAACTCAACAGCTCAGCAGTTTATTCCACAATAAAACCCAGCCCCTCAATCAGCCAAGTAATAAAAGAAATTATCTACTCCGAGCTATTTCCCTCAGGTTCAAAAAGATGAGATTAGCAGAGATGAGATGTAATTAGTTGAAGACTGCCTTGCGTAACTCATTTTGAGGATTGAAAAAAAAAACACAGGACGCCTTTTAGGCTGCTCTAAATGGAAAGTTGCCATCTAGATCTTCACAAAATTGAACTTGATGGCACATATTCCCCTAAGATCCAACGCAGGGAGTTGCTGCAATCAGCAGAAAATTTGAGCAGTCAATTAATTGCCCTCTCCAAAATCCAGTGGCCATACAGAACACTGGCCACAGCTGGATTCCAAATACTTGCATGCATTAAAGGAGACACAGCCTGACACGGTATCTTCCAAGGGCTGCTGGCGTTTTTTAACACATGCAGGTGCCTAAGCCAGACGGAGCCCTTAATCCCAATCCAGTCAATCATTCCTGTTTTGACATTTCATTTGATTTTAGCAAAACTTCATGCTTGATTCAGAAAAGGCCCTCTAGAACAGACATGTCAAACACAAGGCCCCGGGGGGCGGATGCGGCCCGCAAAGTGGTTTCATGTGACCCGTGAAGCCATCCTGGGAACAGTGAGGGAACGCCCCCCGCTGCCTTGGCCCTGGCTCAGGCCGTCCGGGAGCCAATGTACAATTTTGTGCTGGCCATCCATGCTGAAATGCATTCAGACTTAGCTCCACAAGGCCGTCTGGAAACAGTGAGGAACCAGCCCCTGCCACATCAGCCCCGCCCCCTTGGTGCATGCTGGGGAGGTGTCACCCTTTGTGAGGAATGAAGAAATGGACCATGCCTTGGTGCTTGCCCCAGTCCCACCCCCTCCTGGCAGAGACCCTCAGATCTGTCCCACTCCTGCCCAGGCACCCTTGACACGAACGATGTAGAGCTGGCCACACCCACCCAGTAGGCCACACCCACTCCATCCACAACCACCCAGTAGGCCGCCCCCCGAGGGCAACTGCAATGCTGATGCGGCCCTCAATGAAATTGAGTTTGACACCCCTGCCCTAGAACATGGCTGTTTTAGCGTGTTGCAGCTGCTTTAACAATAGAGAAAATGAAACGGCTGCTTTAATGAGACCTCCCCCCCCCCCTTTTTGGTGTCTTTAAACCATTTTTTGACTCCTGGCAATTGCACGGAGTAGTCCCCTGCAGTTTTGATGGCAACATTTTTTGGAAAGCATAGAAGCAATGCTTGAATAGGATCCGCAGGATTGTCTGGGAAGCTACACATCCTCTCCATGATTGGTTTCTTTGTTACCTTCTAGGAAGGGGCTTTGTGTGTGTGTATTTATACCATTTGTATATCTATGTGCATGTACTGTATGTGTATGGGCATCAGAATTTCATTTTTTAATGTGTGCCAGTGTGTTCACAGAAAAAAGGACAATAAAGCTTATCTTATCTTATATCTTATCTTACCTCGTCATCTTGTCATATCTTGTCTTATCTTATCATGTCTTGTCTTATCTTATCTTCTTATCCTATCCTATCCTATCCTATCTTACCTTACCCTACCCTACCCTACCCTACCCTTCCCTATCCTATCTCATCTCATCTCGTCTTACCCTGTTAAACAATGTGACTTTCACTGTTGTAAGCTGGGGACAAAAAGAGCAAGCCCATAGAAAACAAAAAACAGCATGACTAACGTTATTCTCTTTGTAGAAGTAGGAAAGCACAGGTATCCGACCTCGGCTTCGGAACTTCGCGCTTCCCAAGACCATCGCCCTAGCAGCGGCTTTAGGCACGACCAGTTCCCGGGAATAGGTACTGCAAATCTAGGACAAAGAGATGGATGAAACTATCTTCAGTTATTTCCTAATGGTCACTTCACTTGCAAAACCGTTTCTTACGGATTTGCAGTTGAGCAGAGCTGCGCTATAGGTCATCCTTGACTTAACGACCATTTGTTTAACAACCAAAGTGCTGAAAAAGTGACTTACAACTGTCGCAGTTACAGCCTTCCTAGCGTTGCCACAGTCACGTGACTGCAATTTGGGTGCTTGGCAACCGGAATGAATTTACGACAGCTGGTTGAAGCATCCCCAAATGGGTCGCGTGAACGCCGTCGGCAACTTTCGCAGGGGTTGTCGAAACTGGCAAGCAAAATCTTGGACTTGCTTAATGTTTGCACAATTCACTTTTAAGAAACGGTAAAATGGGGTGTGACTCAATGACCGCATCTCTTGGTAACAAGTTCTGTTCTCAGTTGTGGTCCGTAAGTCGAGGACTACCTGCAGAATCTGGGTCTGCTATCTACCTGCCTAGATAGCAGACCCAAAGCAGATGCCAGCTCACCTCGTAATCCTTGTTGACGTTGCTGATTTCCCAGGAGCTGCTCTCAACGCCCATCCGCAGGTAATCGGCTTTGACATCTATCGACTTCCAGCCCGTCTCTCGGCTGCCTTCAGGGGTTTTGGGATTGTAAGAGAAGGCGTAAAGTTCTTCGGGTTTCACTAAAGCACAAAAGCAATTTTGAAAGGCAAAAATCAGCCATTTGGGCCTCTGAGACCAAACCTTAACCACCGCCCCTGCATACAACGATATTACAAATAAGTTCTTCCTTTAATTTCTATTCTGTTTTATTGAATTTGCATCTAACATATCCTGCAGATTTAAAAATAAACCTAGAAAGTTAATAAGCCCCAAGACAATTCGCAAGAACCCTTTCAGCTCTGGCAGATAAAACTACAAGCAGCCATTTTGTTATTAGTTTTTTTTTTCCAATAAAAATGTCTATACACCGTTGTTTAAAGATACTGTTGCTTAGAACTAACAGAAGGGACCTTGAACGTTTCTAGTCCAACCCCATGCCCAAGTAAGAGACCCTATACTATTTCAGACAAGTGGCTGTCCAGTCTCTTCTTAAAAGCCTCCAGTGATGGGCCACCCACAACTTCTGAAGGAAAGTCTTTCCAATTTCTTAGTTCTAGGTTGCTTCTCTCCTTGATTAGTTTCCATTGTTTCTTGCCCTGCCCTCTGGTGCTTTGGAAAATAATTTGACCCCCTCTTCTTTGTGGCAGCCCCTCAAATACTGGAATACTGCTATCATGTCACTCCTAGTCCTTCTTTTCTCTAGACTAGACTAGACTAGCCTTAACCATAACTTTTAATAATAAAATAAAATATTAATAAAATAATAAAAGGGCTTTTTCTCTTCCACCTACTCCTGTGCCTAGTTTTCCTCCCTAGCGCTTCAATGTCCCAGCATCCAGCACAAAGAATGCTTGAATCCTGCTAACATCTGGCTAGAATAAAAAACCAGAGCAACTGGGCCTAACCCAGTGATGGCAAACCTTTTAGAGACCGAGTGCCCAAACTGCAACCCAAAACCCACTTATGCATCGTCGGGTGCCAGGTGGGTGTGGCCCATTGGCTGGGTGTGGCCCATTGGGTGGGCATGGCTGTGGTGGTAATGGCAGATTAGATGGGACTAAAAAGTTCAATCAATCAATTCCAACTTTGCAAGATCTTTTTTTTCCCGCGAGAAGTTGAAATTGACTGATTGAACCTTTTTTTTTTTTTTTGCACATGGCGAAAAGGTTTTATAAAATCCAGCTGAAGGCCTAGGACTGGGGCAACGGTGCGCGTGCCCCCAGAAAGGGCTCCGAGTGCCGCCTCTGGCACCCGTGTCTCCATCACTGGCCTAACCCCTTTCAGCACAGCCTGGGAAAAGCTCTGCTCCCCAGGGAAAGAGGCATTTAAAAGTCAGGGAGAACAGGCCGCTACCACGTAACAGCCCCGGAACAGGCAACAAACGGAACTGTGCGCCACACACACCTGGTTGCGAGAGTTTCAGCAAGGAGCTATAGACTTCGTGACAGTCTCGTTCTTGTACCATCAGAAAGCGAGCTACGCGGAAGTTCTTGCAACGAATTTGCAACTGGCATCCGGAGGCATTCAGCGGTAGCTTCTCCACGATAGCTATGTGGTGGTGGAGGATCTGGAGAAAACAAGAGAACAAGTTCCGACTAGCGAACCCAACCAAGCAAACCTCTGAGCAGCGGTGGGATTCAAATAGGGGAACCACCAGTTCTCTGTGTGGATGCCGCTTCCGGAAGTCCATTCTAGTGGTGCGAACCGGCTGAATCCCACTGCTGCCTCTGAGACGTTTCAGACTCGAAATGCAACACTTTACTGAGTACGCCATATTGGCACATATGAAAATAAAACCGGCTCTGACCAGACCCCACCCAGGTCACTATAGTAGTAGTAGTAGTAGTAGTAGTAGTAGTAGTAGTAGTAGTAGTAGTAAAAAGTTGGAAGGGACCTTGGAGGTCATCAACCCCCTGCTCAGGCAGGAAACCCTATACCATTTCGGGGACTGGAGGCTAAAACATACAAGGAACGGTTGCTGGAATTGGGCATGTCTAGTTTAATGAAGAGAAGGACGAGGGGGGACATGATAGCAGTGTTCCAATATCTCAGGGGCTGCCCCAAAGAAGAGGGAGTCAAGCTGTTCTCCAAAGCGCCTGAAGGCAGGACAAGAAGCAACGGATGGAAACTAACCAAGGAGAGAAGCAACCTAGATCTAAGGAGAAACTTCCTGACAGTCAGAACAATTAACCAGTGGAACACACTGCCTCCAGAAACAGTGAATGCTCCAACACTGGAAGTTTTTAAGAAGAGACTGGACTAAAAACATTGATTTCCTCCTCCTCTTTCTGTGTCAGGTCATGCTGCCCAATCAAGTTGCAAGACATTGTTGTGAGAAAGCATTTCTAGATCCGGCCAGACTCCTGGCAATTGACCTTGGTTCCCACAGTCTGCTTCCTTACATCTTCAAAGTTTGCACTCCACAGCTCTTCTCTCCCCGGACTGATTTGCAAGTTGAGAAGCAACGTCTGTCGCACATTAAGGCTGGTCTTCCAGCCTTGACAAAAAGTAAACAGTGTGTGGGTGTGGGTCAATCATGTACCTTCCCATGGCTAAAATAGCAAAAGCCAACATGGGCGGTCCTAAACCTATGACCACAATTAAGCCCCAAATTTTTGTGGCTAAGCAAGGCAGTTGTTAAGTGAATTTGGCCCCATTTTACAACTTCGCTTGCCACAGTCAAGTGATTCACCGCAGTTCTTTAGGGTTAACAACACGGCTGCTAAGTGAGTCTTGCTTCCCCACTGACTTAGCTTCTCAGGTCGCAAAAGGGGATCACGTGACACCCAGGGATGCTGCGATGGTCATAAATATGAGCCAGTTACCAAGCATCCGAATTTTGACCACGTGACCATGGGGATGCTGCAATGGTCGTAAGTGTGAAAAACGGTCATAAGTCACTTCTTCCGGTGCCTTTGTAACTTTGAACGGTCCCTAGGTGAATGGTTGTTAAGAGGCAACACTAACTTGCGTTTTGCGACTCTGAAACGATGCATTTGATGGGCGTGAAAGTGGCTGCCCCTTGGATTTCTCTCCTAGGCGAATTCCTACTGCTCAAGCTGCCGTATCCCACAAACACTGCACTGCACTGTACGTTAAAATGGCTCCGTTTTTAAGCCTGAGTGCAATCTAGGATAATGTGTTGAATGAGGCTTCTTCTTCTTCTTGTGCCATACCCATTATCAGACGTTGGCGATCCTGTTTTTATCAGCACCTGCACGAAAAAGTGCTGCTGAGTTTTGTCCAAACCAGTCCCTTAGATTTTGAAGCCACGATGTTCTTCTTCTGCCTGGACCTCGTTTGCCTTCCATCTTTCCCTGGAGGATTAAATGGAGCATGCCGTATTTTTCTGGGTGTCGCATCACATGTCCAAAATATTCTAATTTTTGTTTTTTAATTGTTTTGATGATTTCCCTTGGCTTTCCCAGGCGGCTTATCCCCTCCTCATTTCTGATCTTGTCAGCCCAGTTTATACCTAACAGCCGCCTGTCAATCCACATTTCAGATGCTTCTAGCCTCTTCAGGTGGCCTTCTGTCAGAGACCAACTCTCTACTCCATAGAGCAGGATAGGAAAAATATAGCATCTGACAAGCCTGGTTTTCAGTCTTAGGCTTATGTCATGCAGGCTTTTTTTTTTTTTTTTACTGTTATGGGCATTTTAGAGAAGTTGATTTTCTCGGCGGTAGAAGGCTAAGAATGGAGAACTTGCAGCCAGCCGAGAGTGCAGATTCTCTCAGGGAGTGGGGAGGAGGCCTTGTTTTGACTACTTTTACGTTTTGCTTTCCACTAAATGACCTCAGCAAAGCAGTGTTCATGCAGGGATGAAAATGAAGACCGAACAATGACCTCTTTGCCGATGGCATCTTTAGGCCAGCACCGTAGTTCAAAGGCCTCCATTCTTTGGCGCTCGGCCTTTCTGATGGTCCAACTTTCACAGCCATACATTGCAACTGGGAAAACCATGGCCTTGACTTCCTTAGTCCTCCCAAAGATAAGGGAAGGGCGTGGATTCAGACTTGCAAGAGTCAGTTAATCTAACCTTACAATAAAAATAGTATTAGCATTCATAATTTTGGTTTCTCAGTTTGGTTTGCCTCAAAGGGCTGACGCTGATAGTCTTAACTGATAGCCATTTCTAAAAATAAATGTGATACGCATGTTCAAACATTTAATAACAGCTCTACAGCAGTGGTTCTCAACTTTTTCTTCACTAGGGAGCCCCTTTAAATACCTTTTGTGGCCACAGACCATGGCCACGGACCTCCAAGACTTAGGATTTAAATCATAATATTTCTTCAAGCCAAAAATGCAAATAAGAAACAACAGGGCAACAAGGACAAATATTCTAAAGAAGAATAAGGGGGGGGGGGAAATACAAATAATAGAAGATTACCGTTACAAAATTGCTGTTAAAAAAAAGGGGGAGGAGTATATACTGTGTGTGTATGTGTGTTATGTATTGTTTTGCTTTGTTGGTTTAAAAATAAAAATTTAAAAAAAAAAATTTCTTCAAGCCTTTGCGGACCCCCTGTGACATCGTTTCCCCCCCCCCCAGGGTCCGAAGACCACAGGTTGAGAATCACTGCTCTACAGAATATATTTCCAAACACAATGTGCTGAAAACCGAGCTATAGATTTTCAGGGTCTTCGTAGCCTGTTGACTGTTGACTTTGGTGGCTCTGATCCATCAAGAATCTCATGTTCAAATGTTGCTTACGAGCCGTTCACCAAACACAGCCATCTATAACCTGGTTAATGCTTGCAGTCTTCAGCATCTAGCAGGCAGCTAGTTAGGGACTAACCGGACCAGGGGTCTTCAGACTTGGTCCTTTTATGACTTGTGGACTTCAACTTCCAGAATTCCTCAGCCAGGCATGCTGGCTGAGGGAATTCTGGGAGTTGAAGTCCACAAGTCATAAAAGGACCAGGTTTGAAGACCCCTGAACCAGACTGTTTAGATTAAGTCCATCACAGCTAGTTCTCGACTTACAGCTAAAATGAAGCCTGCCCATTACGGCCATAAGCTGTGGCAATCAGCACATCACCAGACCTGATTTTATAAGATTTTTGGCATTGATCGCTAAGGGAACATCGTGGTCATATAGCAAACACCACAATTGTTAAGGGAACCCACTGTTTGCTATGGGGCATTTTTGCAAAAACCAGAAGTAAACACCAGTTTTCAGCAAAAGCCTTGTAAATAACGATCACATGACCCCAGCTCTAAATGTGGGCCCAGTGCTGTGTTCATGAGACTGCCAGAAGGGACACCTGTAAGAACTTGAGAACTTGAGTCATAAGTTCTCTTTCTTTTGGGGTGGGTCTGTTGTAACTTAGCAATTTAACTGTTGCCTAATGGCCAGCCATAGGTAAAAGACTACTCTAATAAAAAAAGTGGAAATGAGCTTAGCTTTCGCAAGACAAGAACCGTTTGGTTCTCAGTGGTCTGGAAAATTGCTATTACCCATGTCTCTTTTCGAACTTCAGTTGAGGTGTCCACGTAGATCAGATGAGTAGCCGTCAAATACAGCGTCCCATTTGCTGCTTTCTTGTTGGTATATCGATCTAGCAACTTGACATTTTCTACCTGTGGGGCAGAGAGGAGGGGGGGAAAAAGAAAGAAACCAGACAGGAACAAAGCAATTAGAACATGTCTAAAAAAAGGCAGAACGCACCAGATCAGTCACCGAGCATGGAAAGCATTCGCACCACTGTTCAGCTCTCCCTCTTTGCACCAGCAAGGCAGTGAGTAATTACTGAAGAGATGGAAAAAGGCATCCTTCCACTAATTAAGCCCAGTGCCTCGTCGTGCTACGATGGGATGCCAGTCAGGTCAAAGTTGTATAATCTTCACACACTGGGTTGTCCATCATAAAGAAAAATCATTTCTCGGTGACTTAAGAAAGGAAGCTTTTATAATTGTGAATTAGGCTTCATGTATACCAGTGGTTCTCAACCTTTCTAATACCGCGACCCCATAATACAGTTCCCCATGTTGTGGTGACCCCCAACCACTTATACATCACTGAGTGCCAGGGGCATGGCCAAAGAAAAGGGGAAAAAAATGGCGGACAGCCTTGTTTGGCGACCCCCGTGAAATCGTCATTCGACCCCAAATGGGGTCCCGACCCACAGGTTGAGAACCACTGATGTATACGGTTCATCTATTCAGCCAACTTGAGAACAAGGAGCTCTGCCTGCCTGGATGAGAATCAGGGGCCAAGAAGAGGGTGAGGTTTGTAAGAATAATGACTTTCTGTCAAGGGGAAAATAATTATAAGGCCCCTTGTTTTGCCTCAGTTAAAATGATTTCAATCAGAAAAGCTGGAGGCATAAAATCCAGAACGAGTACTTATGAGACAACACGGAGGTTGTCCCTTTTGGCTCCGGAAATACATTTCTGCACCTAAGCATCCAATCAAATATATCCTATCTCCTTAATCCACAGTGCTCATCTTCATAATCCACTTTGTAGGTACCGGGCTTTTGCTGATGGTGCTTGAGAAGCCGCCAGCAACTCAGTTATGAGAAAATGGAAGTTCTCCAGACGGTGATGAAACCAAACTCTTAGCAACTCAGCCACCTGGGGCAAAAGGGGTTGGGATTGGGAACTGTAGTCCAGCCAGATCTGGAGGGACACAGGATTCCCAACCCTGCACCAGCGAGCATAGATTCAAGAATCCTAAAGTCTAAGGCAGGGGCGCCCAACCTTTCTGGCCTTGCAAACCAATGTGGGGGGAGAAAGAGAGGGGATGGTTCTGCCCACACAGCAGGCAAGCACATGCAGCTCCGTTTGTGCTGATGCAAGTGGAGCTGCATGTGTGAGAGCAGTCGCCCATCGCTTGGGTGGACCAGTTTGGGGCTGCAGCCTGGGGGCTGGAGACCCCCCCCCTGGTCTAAGGGACCTTGTCTATGGAGATTCTCAACCCTCCAGGTCTTGATTATTCCAAAAGGCAACTGGACTTTCTTGTGGGTTTTTTTTTCTTCTTGGAAAATATTTCACGTCTAGTCCTAGAAGCTTCAATCAATCAATCTCCAGTGAAGGGGGAAATTCTCCAGTGAAGGGAAAAAAACCAATGGGTTGTTCTATACCAGGGATCTCCAAACTTTAAGACTTGTGTCCCAAAGGGGCTTTTTCATGACCTCTGGGCTGAAGAAGCTTCTTGGAAGTGAAAGGTCTTCAAAGAAAAACAAGGAAGTCCACCTGCCTCGTGAAAAAGCACCTTTGGGACAGCCATGACCTGGATGGCGGAGGATCTCCATAGACATTTAAGACTTGTGGACGTCAACTCCCAAAATGGGAGCTGGCTGGGGCATTCTGGGAGCTGAAGTCCACAAGTCTTAAAGCTGTCCATTCCACTGATTGACAGCTCTTGCTCTGTCAAGAGGTTCTCCCTCGTGTCAAATCTGTATCTACATCCTTGAAGTTCCATCCAACTCCAACTCTCTGGGGTGAGTCAGAAACGCATCTGAACGTGACAGCCCTCCAGATAGTTGAAGAAGACCCTCGTATCTCCTCCCAACCTTCTCTTCTGCAAACTAAACACAAAGGGAGTCCTCAACCTACGACCACAACTGAGCCCAAGACAATCGTAAAGTGAATTTTGCCCCGTTTAACGACTTATCGCAATTGTTAAGTGAATCACTCCAGCTGTTTAAGTTAGTTACAGGATTGTTAACCTGGCTTCCCCCCTGATGGTAAAAAGGGGATCCCGTGACCCCAGAACACTGCAACTGTCATAAATATGAGTCACTTGCCAAGCAGCTGAATTTTGATCACAGGGACCGTGGGGATGCCCGAAGTATGAAAACAATCATACAGTCCCTAAATGAATTGTTGTAAGTCAAGGACTACCTGCACTTAGGTCTTCTAACCATTCCTTGTAGGAACAGGGAATTCAACAGGTGAGCATGACCAAATAAGAAATAACAGGAAGCTGTTGGGATAGGTAGTGGAGCCCAAACCTTGACCAGGTAAGCAGGAAGTGAAGGAACTAAAAAAAACTCACCCTAGATGCTAAGCACTTCACGGCGGATGGAACAGAGGACCCTGTACAGAAGCATGGACATGCCCTGGACCACTGGATGCACGTTCCAAACTTACTTCGGAAGGCAAATGGAGAAATAATAAAGCTATCATCCGATATTTCAGAAACTGCTCTATAGAGTTCTAACATGGTTCTAGGCCAGTGATGGCGAACCTTTTAGAGACCGAGTGCCCAAACTGCAACCCAAAACCCACTTATGCATCGTCCGGTGCTGGGTGGGTGTGGCCCATTGGCTGGGTGTGGCCAATGGGGGGCGTGGCTGCAGTGGTAACGGCAGACTGGGTGGGACTAAAAAGTTCAATCAATCGATTCCAACTTTGCGAGATCTTTTTTTTCCCTGCGAGAAGTTGAAATTGATTGATTGAATCTTTTTTTTTGCACATGGCGGCGGAGGCCTAAAGCGAAAAGGTTTTATAAAACCCAGCTGAAGGCCTAGGACTGGGGCAACGGTGCGCGTGCCCACAGAGAGGGCTCTGAGTGCCGCCTCTGGCACCCGTGCCATAGGTTCGCCACCACAGTGGGGGATTTCAAATAAGTGAACAACCGGTTCTCTGTGTGGATGTCACTTCCCGAAGTCCATTCTGGGCCTGGGCAACAAAACATTAGTTACCGGTTCTGTTGAAGTCGTGCGAACTGGCTGAATCCCACCACTAATTATAGGTAGTCCTTGACTTATGACTGAGTCATTTAGAGACTGTTCAAATTTCTGACAGACCTACCTGGGGGATACTTATGACAAAGACCAGGCAGCCCCCCTCTCCTCTGCAGCCACGCGACTGCATTTCGGGTGCTCAGCAACCGGCCTGCATTTATGGCCATGTGCACTGTCCCAAAGTCACAAGACCCTGTTTTAGGACGGTTTGCCAAATCCCTGAATTTGCTTCCTGTTTTCGGCAAAAAGCGGGCCATAGCAAACAACTGGTTTGTTTAATGACGGTCACTTAACCGTGGTGGTCACTTTACAACCATTGTATTTACTTAACGACCGTTGCAAAAAAGGGTCATAAAATAGGGTCCTTCACGTGGGTGTCCCTTTTTACAACAGACACAACTTATCACCGTTAATGGTCAGGCTCTGTTACGAGCGTAACCTGAGCACCACCTGTATAAAAACTCAATTAAAGCAGCTCCTATGAGCGATAAAGCAGGTGGAATAATCTCCTAGTTCAGGGGTAGGCGACCTTGGCTCTTTTATGACTCATGGACTTCAACTCCCAGAATTCCTGAGCCAGCAGGAAGTTGAAGTCCACTAGTCATAAAAGAGCCAAGGTCGCCTACCCCTGTCCTAGTTCATTGGAATCACTCTTCAATCACCCAATATTTCTCGTGCAATTAATTCTCACTCTTTCTCTCTCTGAGATGCAAAACCTTCTATCATATTAGGCCCTTCATACTGTTTGGACTGGATATCCCATATACCAGATTGACGCCGCATTCCACATTTAGCACCCCATGACAGAATAACAGTATAACGGATGTGCTTAATTACTATGGTGTTTGCTTAATGACTGTCACAAAAACTGTCGTACATTTGGGTCTGGTGAATAACCACGATGAGTTATGATGGTAATTCCAGGCTCAATTATGGTTGTAGACTGAGGATTTGCAACTAGCTTTGGTGTCTAAGCCAGACGGAGCCCTTAATCCCAATCCAGTCAATCATTCCTGTTTTGACATTTCATTTGATTTTAGCAAAGGTCCTTCTTCCGATTACTCTCAGTGCCACCAAACGCCCCTAAAGCAGGGGTTCCCAACCTCCGGTCCGTGGACTGGTACTGGGCTGCAGCATGCCAGCAACCGGTCCACACAAACAAGCAAAGCCCCATCCATGGGATGCAGGCAGCACACAAAACCACGCTCCCTCCGGTCCGTGGAAAAACGTCTCTCCAAGTAAGCGGTCCCTGGTGCCCCAAAAGTTGGGACCCTCTGCCCTAAAGCTTCAGCACGAGTGCAAAAACTTTCAACGTGGCCTCTTTCAAGAGGAGACCTGGCCAAACTACAGCACTGAGCAATTTAGCCTCAGCAGAGCCAGCTCTGGCAAGAAAATGGGATTTAAGCAATCACTGAGATTATAAATCCCACCAGTCCAGTATTTTTGCTGTTGAGTAATGAGTTACCTTTGAACCAAAATCTGACTACAATGCAACATCACAGCTCCTACAGATTCCTGGAGCCCTTTCTGCAATCTTTATCTCCCACTAGCCAGGGTCCCTGAAAACTGACCACCAAGCTGTGTCAGGATCTTACTTGCAAGAACTGCCCTGTAACTTTTTTCAGTTGAAGGGGAAAAAAAGACCTAGGCACTAGCTGAGAGACAGAGGCCAGCTGTTGTAACCCAACTCCTAACACAGGTTTTCTGCCTCTAAATTTAAAATATGCATTTGTCTTTTATTCCAGGTCATTTACAAGCCATCTTCCCACACTGCCCTTCCTCCCCCCTTTGGCATTTTTCAGAAGCGTCACAAGATTTATCTCCGTGTAATGGGAGAGGCAACACAAATGCAGACCTCTACATTTCCGGACACTGTTCTTACACACACACACAAAAAAGGGAAATAACTTACTGGCTTTCCTACAACTTCCTTTTTTCCAACAGGAAAGAAATTGGATGGGATTAGAAATACTGGGCTCTTTCCATTTTCTCACTTTAGGAAAATGAGGTGGGGGGAAGCAATAATTGAAGGAAATGGGTCTGGGGGTAGGTAAGCTTTCAATGCTGGAAAGATAGTTAGATTTCCACAATGGACAAATGGCTCCAAAATTGATGGGAGTTAGCAGAGATGGCTAAATTGACTGCTTTGATTAAAGAAAAGAATATAATTAATGTTGTTTCTAATAATAATAATAATAATAATAATAATAATAATAATAATAATAAAGTTGGAAGGGACCTTGGAGGTCATCTAGTCCAATCCCCTGCTCAGGCAGGAAACCCTATACCATTTCGGACAAATGGCTGTCCAGTCTCTTCTTAAAACTTCCAGTGTTGAAGCATGAGCTTCTGGAGGCAGGTTGTTCCACTGGTTAATTGTTCTCACTGTTCTCCTTAGTTTTAGATTGCTTCTCTCCTGAATTAGTTTCCCTCCATTGTTTCTTGTCCTGCCTTCAGGTGCTTTGGAGAATAGCTTGACTCCCTCTTCTTTGGGGCAGCCCCTGAGATACTGGAGCACTGCTATCATGTCCCCCCTCGTCCTTCTCTTCATTAAACTACACATATGCAATTCCAGCAATCGTTCCTTATATGTTTTAGCCTCCAGTCCCCTAATCATCTTTGTTGCTCTTCTCTGTACTCTTCCCAACCCTTTTAAGCAGTTTGGAAACTTCAGCAGAGACTTTTCTAGGAGTGATCCAACTTCCCAGCAGCACATTTAATGGGAACAATTTTATTACTAGAAACACTCACTGGGCTACTGGCTTGGCCAGCTGCTCAGAGCAATAATCTGGATGGGTAACAATAATCTTTCTTTCAGAGAATAAAACACGGAGAGACAAATATAGCAGGCAAGCCAAGAGGTTTGCAAAGGAATTTTAATACCGTGGTTCTAATTAGAGCCCAAAGGATGCACTCTGCACGTGCTTCCAAAGCTCTCTAAGGATCCTGCACATTCTAATGCTTATTTCCTGGCTGTTTGAACTGAGGGAAAAAAAAACACCACACCCTGAAGCTACAGATACAAAAAGCTCCACCTTGTGCAGAGAAGAGCAAAAGCTTGGTGGAGATGGGGACAAGTACAGGTACAACAGTGATTTGAATTTCCATTGATAAACAAGGCAGTTGCCAAGCCAATCGTGCCCAATTTTACAACCGTTTTTCCCACCATTGTTAAAAGAAGCACTGAAGCTGTTAAGTAAATCATAATAAAACAGAAAAACAGAGTCGGAAAGGACCTTGGAGGTCATCTAGTCCAGGGCGTTTCAACCTGTGGTACATTGGCACCTTGCAGGTGGTACACGACCATCCCAGAAAAGTGGTAGTGGGGGAGGGGAATGAGCTGAACCGGTGGCAGCACCGCACAAGCCTGAGCGAGAGACGGCTGGAGCTGCAGGGCTGTCAGGGCTCAGCAGAAGCGCCAGGATCAGCGCCAGGCTCCAGCTGGAGCTCGGTGCTGATCCTGATGCTTTTGCTGAGCCCTGAAGAAGCACCAATCAGCTGGAAAGCAGCACTGATCCTGGTGCTTCTGCTGAGCCCAGAAGAAGCGCCAATCAGCTGGAAAGCAGCACTGATCCTGGTGCTTCTGCTGAGCCCAGAAGAAGCGCCAATCAGCTGGAAAGCAGCACTGATCCTGGTGCTTCTGCTGAGCCCAGAAGAAGCGCCAATCAGCTGGAATGTTGCAGCATCTCCAGGGTCTTGTGATTTACATTCAGACGCTTGGCAACTGATTCATATTTATGACGGTCACAGTGTCCGAGAGTCATGGGAAGTGACCAAAACCTGCTGCAACCACCCAGCAGACGGGGGGGAATAAAAACCAAACACCCCCCCACCCCACCCCTGCTGCCAATCCTCAACAGAAATGCTCAGAACAATGAAAACCTCGGACAGGAGGAAGAGCACTGCCGGGTGGGCAGGCAGGTGTCTTGCTTGGCTGTGGCTGGGGGGGCACTTTTTTCAGTGCCATTGTAACTTCGAACAGTCACTAAGCGAACTGTTGTAAGTCGAGGTCTACCTGTACTTCAACACTTTTTTCCTTGCTTAGGCGACTGGTGGTACTCAGATGTTGCCATATCCTAAAAGTGGTACAATGGGTGAAAAGGTTGAAATGCCCTGTTCTAGTCCAACCCCTTGATCAAGCAGGAGACCCATGGACCATTCCAGCATTTGTAGTTCCAGAAGCAGTAATTTTTAAATAAACCACTGCAGTTGTTAAGTGAATCAAGCAGTTGTTAAGCAAATCCAGCTTCCCCCATTGACTCTGCTGGGAGGCAGCTTGCAAATGAAGTTCTCAGGATCCCAGGATTCTGCAACCATCATCAATATATCCCGGTTGCCTAGCGCCCGAATTTTGATCCCATGACCATGGAGAGGCTGTGACCTTTGTTAAGCGTGGTTGTCAGTCACTTTTTTCCAGTGCTGTTGTAATTTTGAACAATTGCTAAACGGATGGCTGTAAGTCAAGGACTACCTATTTCTTGTAACTGCAGATCAAAACATGTAACACAGCATAAAATACAGTAACAATAAAAACAGTAAGATTGTAAAATAAAGTCATGAGAAGAAGGGTAGATGCCAAAAGGTTGCTGGGAGATAAAGCCAAGCTACAACTAGGAAATTAAGTATTTCTGAGTTTAAATGGGAGACAAGTTGAAAGTACTTGTATAGAATGGTTGGAAACTGAACGAAGAGAGAAGCAACCTGGAATTAAGGAGAAACTTCCTGACAGTGAGGACAATCAACCAGTGGAACAGCTTCGTCTTCAGAAGTTGTGGGTGCTTCATCACTGGAGATCTTTAAGAAGAGACTAGACATTCACCTGTCTGAGATGGTGTAGGTTCTCCTGCTTGAGCAGGGGGCTGGACTAGAAGACCTCCAAGGTCCCTTCCAGCATTCTACTCTACTCTACTCTACTCTACTCTACTCTACTCTACTCTACTCTACTCTACACCCTACCCTACCCTACTACTCTACTCTAGCCCAATCTTGGGTTTTGGGACAAAAAGGAATGGAATCACAATTGTGGAGAAGCCATGCTTGTATCTGGCTTGGCACCTCCTTTCAGCAGTAAAGCCAGATGTAACCTAAGAAAATGTACTCTACACATGTTCAGAGGACCCTTGGTCCTGCGATGTGAAATGTATCCTTTATCCTAGGGTCCAAGATCCAGCTCCCCATTCTGCTTCGGGTGGCTCTTTTAGCACCACACACTTACCGCCCATTAGCAGAACCAATTTGTTCCATTAAAGGGCTGGCACCAGAGCACATGGGTCCACAAAACTACTGAGACAAGTGTATGTTTCAGAGGGTTGTGAAAACAGAGGCTTGGGAAAGGGATCCCCTTCCTTCTCCCACCAGCTTGGAAGCAACCGGCCCTGAAAACAGCGACATTAACAGAGCCCTTCTCCAACTGGGTGCCCTCTGGAGATGCTGGACTGGCGTACCCATCATCCCCATCCAACTCAACCCCCATCCAACTCAAGCTGGTGGTCCTGCCTTTCGAAGCAATGTGTGTTTTCTCTGCTGTGCTGGCATTGCCAGCTCCAGCCCTGGGATATGGGGGTCTCGGATGCCAGGCCAGCACTACAATCCGGCCCTTGTTTTTACTTTGGTTGGCTTGAATCATAATAAAAAATGACAAAATACCTTATTATAATTATTATTCTGTTCTTAACCTTTTCCATAAGTATATACAGTACTGTATCGCCTATAAATACATATGTTTTGTAAATGCATAATTGCATAAACATATATATTCATATATAAACATAACATTTTATACAAATATCATAAATGTATACTATATACAAATATATATGCAATATTTATTTATACCTGTGCAAAACTATATGTATGAAAAAAGAAATCATATGTATACACGTATATACACTCGTATATACATACATGCATACACACATACATATATATGTATACACATATACACACACATATATACACACACATATATACTGTACATACATGCATACACACATACATATACATACATATATATGGATGGCTGGATTTGTACCATCAATAAAAATAAATATATCAATACATAATATCTTTATGAATATCTCAAGGCGGCTCCTCCTTTTCCTCCCCAACAACCCTGTGGCTTCAGCACTGCAAGAAGGGCAACTCTATATAAACTGATCTAATAAGTAAGCCAGTCGGCAAACCCCGCTCCCGTTGCTGCATTCACACAACCCCTTCCTCGGGGTTGCGACACGTGTGGGGCGAGCTCGACGCGTGTCGCGGGTCAGCCTCACGTGGGAACCGCCCTCCCTCAGGCTCCGCAGCCCCGCTGAGCACGTGGGAAGGCCGCCCGCGGGGAGCGCTCGGGAAAGCGGGCAGGCGCTCTGCACATGCTCAGAGACCGCAGCGCAGGTCGGGGGGCCGCGGGGGGGGGCAAATCTCGCCCTCCCCCTCCCGCCTCACCTTGGGCGTCGTGATGTACTCCATCGCCGAAGCCGCCGGCCTCTTCCACGTCCGGATCCCGCGAAGCCTCGCGAGACGTCGTGGAGGCGGCGCTTCGGGCGCCATCTTGCGTGAGGGCAGCTGCCCTTCCCCCGGCGGAGCGCTGGAACGGGCCGGCACTTGGGCGTTCTTGCCCGCCTCCTACCGGAGGGACCCCCGAACTGCATTCCCTTCCACGATCCGCTTTGCCAGGGGTCTTCAAACTTGGCCCTTTTATGACTTGTGGACTTCAACTCCCAGCGTGCGCTGGCTGGGGAATTCTGGGAGTTAAAGTCCACAAGTCATAAAAGGGCCAAGTTTGAAGACCTCTGAAATAAAGTAACATCATCAATGCTGGAAGGGAGTGGGGTTTGTTCACTGATTATACACAATAGCTTGCCCTGCCAATTTATTTATTCTGTAATTTATTGTGTTCCCATTTCCATCTTTTGCTATTAAAGGGTGCCTTTTGCTGGCTGGTTCACACATTGTCAACTCAGGTTCATTTACCAATTTAAATATCAATATTTAAATGGTCCCGGTAGATGATAGCCCCAGATCCAAACACCCGAACCGAGCCAGGCCAGAAAGGAGCGGAAATCGCCTTTCGGTGGGACCCTGGTCGGGGCCCCTGAAAGCCGCGGGGGTCCTCATGGACGGGACGGGGATCGGGCCCACGCAGCCCACTCCCGCGGAGGCTCCGGCGGTCTATAAAGGAGGCGCCTCCGCGGAAGCCGCCGCGTTTGCGGACCGAGGCCGGGCGAGGCGCGGAGGGAGCTCGGCCAGGCTGCCCCGACGGCCACCCGCCCCCCTTGCCCGGCTGGAGAGGCTGCGCCATGGCCCGCCCCGCGCTGGGCGCTCTGCTTCTGCTGCTGCTGCTGCTGCTGGCCGGCAGCGCCGCCTCGACGGGCCCGGAGGGCGAGCCGTGCGCCCCAGAAGGCGCCCTGCGCTGCCCGCAGCTGCGCGACGGCGCGGACGCCCAGATGTGTTGCAGCGCCGGCCGCCTCTGTTCCTGCCGCCCGGCCGGAGAAGCGCAGCTGGAGGGGCGGCGGGGCCCGCGGGAGGCCCAAACCACCCGGCCCCAGATTCAGGACGAGCCGGGGAAGTGTAAGAGCACCAACTAGCCATCCCCTCTCGCGGGCGGGCCGGGCTAGGTGTGTGTGTGTGGGGGGGGGGTTGGTTTCCGTCGTTTTGGCTGCACCTTCCCCAGCTGAAGCCAAGTTTCATCCGGATTCGGGGCTTAACCTGGTTTGTTGAACAAAGCACGAGAGGTAGGATTCGCAGAAGGTGCCCCCTAGAAAGCTGCAACGTTGCAGGTGGCTAGCAAGTCCACCCCCTTCCCCCATCCCCAAATATATGGTTACAAGTTTGTTTTACCTGAAGGGCCGGGCTGGAAATCCCAAGAAGGTTATTTGGTTTGTCAGCGCTTTGCCTGCAAAGCTAGCCCTTTGTGGTTTATTGAATAAACCATTGTTTAATGCAACCCTCCTCCAAACGGGCATGTTCCAGATGTGTTAGAGACTTTTCAGCACAGCACCCTGATGAATCCAACTCGCATTTGGGGAGATCCTAGGTGAGCCCCACGCATTGGGTTGCCCTACTCCTCTGTAGCTGACCTGCCCAAGTCCATGTAACCAGGAGATGGGAGCAAAGATGGACTTAATGAGTCCTTGGTGTTCTCGGAGCTTGGTTGTTTTCTTGCTGACGGACTGGTCATGTTACCTAGTTTGGGTACCAAAGGTCTGCAGGAAAAGAAGCAGGCTCAGAGAGCACCCAGGACCCCACAGTCCTCCTCCCTCCTCCCTTCTCCTTCTCCTTTTCCACTCTTCAAACACCCCTCCTAGCACTGATGATGTTCCCCAGTTGGGTCATGAAACGTCTGCAGGAAAAGAACCAAGCTAAGAGAGTACCAAGGACCCCCCCAGTCCTCCTCTTCCCTCTTCCTCTCCTCCTCCACCACCTCTCCACCTACCCCCTTCTAGGACTGGTGATATTCCCTAGCTGGGTGATGAAACGTTTGCAAGAAAACCACCCAGCCCAGAGAGCAGCAAGGACCCCACAGTCCTCCTTCCTTCTCCTTCTCTTCCACTCCTCAAACACCCCTAGCACTGATGAGGTTCCCCAGTTGGGTCATGAAACGTCTGCAGGAAAAGAACCAAGCTAAGAGAGTACCAAGGACCCCACAGCCCCCCCTCCTCCTCCCACTGAGGATGCTACCTAGACAGGTCACGAAACGTCTGCAGGGAAACAACCAAGCTCAGAGAGAGCACCAAGGACCCCTCATTCCGACCCTGAGCGACAAATATTCTCCTCTAAAGATGGATTTGTTCTCATTGTCCTCTTTCTGTCCGCCTTTCCCAGCATTAATGCCTTCTCCAGAGAGCTGGCTCTTCACATAATGTATCCGAAGGAGGATAACACAAACCTGGTGATTTATGTCTAGAGCGAGTTGGTATATTCAATGATTGATGTGCTGGTTTTCTCAGCTGTCCAATGGTATGCTCAGGAATCTTCTCCAACGCCAAACTTCAAAGGTGTCAATTGTCAATTGTTTTAAAGAGGCTCTGAGTGCTGCCTCTGGCACCCATGCCATAGGTTCGCCACCACTGTCCTATACTTATACCTATGTCTATACAAGTTGACATCGACAAGACATAGAGCAGGGGTAGGCACCCTTGGCTCCTTTATGACTCGTGGACTTCAACTCCCAGAATTCCTGAGCCAGCCATGCTGAGGGGAAAGGGAGAGGTTTCCAAGCTGAGCCATACTGGCTTGGGAATTCTGGGAGTTGAAGTCCACAAGTCATAAAAGAGCCAAGGTTGCCTACCCCTGGCATAGACTCTCCTCTCTGCTGCCCTCTTGTGGAGCCATGTCCTTTTGCAGCTTCCTGGGGCTAGGAAGTTGCTCATCAAGGAAGTGGAGAAGAAGCAGATAACGAAGGAAAGATTTCCTTGATAACCGGTGCTTTTTCTTCTCTTTGCAGCCATGGACTGGAAGCATATCCTGATGGTTGTCCTCTTGTTTACTGTCCTTCTGCTGCTTTGGATGGCAGTGCTCTACTGCAAGGGCCGCTTCTGGCCAAAGGAGACGTTCTTTTTGAATCCTTTCATGCCAGACTTCGAGAACCAAGCCTTGTTTCCTTTGCACTCTCTTCCACCCCCTTCCCCCGGCTTTCTGAATCACTCCCCACCCGATGAGGATGAGCAGCCTGGCTTTGCTGCCTCCCCACCCCCCTATGAGGACACCAACCCCACCTCTCTGATTTCCCCTCCCCTCTATGACCACAAATCTCCTGACCTTGGGGTCCCTCCACCTCCCTACGACCCTACAGCCCCCACCATTCCACCTCCCCCGGCTCCCTACAATGACGACCCACCGCCTTATAGTGTTGAAGTTCCTCTGGGCAACTGGGACCAGCTCCCTCCACCGCCATCCCCAAGCCTGAGTAGCAGAAGCTCAGGCGGCGAGGCTGATGTGGGACCTCTGGTGCACCAAAACGTGCCTGGCTATTCTTCCACGTCGACCTTGGAAACAGATGCTTGAGCAGACAAGGGACATCCCACCCGGAGGACCGTCTTCTTCTAAAGGTGGTTTTGAAGCAGAATCTCTTTCTTATGGTGATGGTTAGTTTTTAGGATCCAGGAAAGGAATCCACCTTGACTCAGAGCTTCTCTCATCTGTGTCCTGCCAGATGGACTTCAAGTTCAAGAATCCGTAGCCAGCGTGGCTGTTTGCTGAGGCATCTGAGTACTGAAGTCCCAATGCTTCTGGCTGGCATCAGGTCAGCGAAGATTGCTGTAGGACAAGTTCCAGGGTGACTCTTTCCTTGGTGTGACGGTTGTCCTTGGAACTGGAGCCACGGTGGCGATAAGCCAGAAGGACACCTGCGGCATCACCTTGAAGGTTCTCTCCCGACTGCAGTGCTTTTTAAACTGTGACAATTGTGCGGTGCCTTTGGTGTATTAACTGTGACAAAAGGAAGCCGGCAATAGTGCGTGCTGGCTCAAAGCTTTGGCAGACAAGCTGTTTCTTTTAGCCTACTTGTTAGATTTATGTTTATCAACGTGTTTTTTATTCAATAAAAACAAGTGTTGGGTGCTGAGATTCAGCCTACTTGCCATGATTTATTCGATTCAATGTAGGAAATATGGCGAGTCCTCGATTTATGGCCACAATTTACATCACAAAATGAGATGCTTGTTCAGTGAGCTTTGCCCCATTTTACGACCTCGCTTCCCACAGTTGTGAAATGAATCACTGCAGTTGTGAAGTTAGCAACATGTTTGTCAAGTGGATCTGGCTTCCTCATTGACTTCGCTTGTCGGAAGGTCGCAAAAGGGGATCACGTGACCCCCCCAGGGATGCTGCGACCATCATAAATATGAGTCAGTTGCCAAGCATCTGGATTTTGATTCCATGACCCTGGGGATGCTGCAGTTACAAGTGTAAAAAAAAACAGTCCTAAGTCACTTTTTTCACTGCCGTTGTAACTTTGAACAATCATTAAATGAACTGTTGTAAATTGAGGATTACCTGAAATTGGGGTGATTTGGAGCTAGGAGGGAGATTCCCCTGCGCTGTTTGGCATTTGAAGAAAGCTCAGATGCTGGTTTCGGCTGGTGATTTCATCCTTGGTTGGCATGGAGAGGCTGCAGGGCTTTGCCAAAGGAGCACAAGATTACAGGTCAAAATGGACTTGCTGATGCCCACAAAACACACTGCAGTTTCCCTAACTACACAAATCGAGGAGCAGCGAAGCATGCTAGATTTTAAACCTTTGAGCCTGTCATTAGAGTCTGTCTGTCATGGTTCCGACTAACGAAACACTTCGAAGAACTTCCAGGCATTGTTTATCCTAAAAAGCCTTTAATTGTGAAACAAAGTGTTGGCACAGCATGGTGGATGCCAAGATCTGAATTCCCCTCCCCTGAGCACATACTATTCCAGCATATTTCCCTCCTCTAATTTGCAGTCATAAATCACATTCTCCAATCAGTTTGAAGGGCAAAGTTTCCCTTCCAGTTCTGTAGCCCATGGTTTCTTATCTTAACTAATCCCCAAACACATTCTTTCTCCTCCCCTCCCAGCATCATCTAATTTAACTCTAAAAA